TAACATTATTCCATATTTGTGGTTACCATACTTTACGGAATGAAATTAAAAAAGCACATATGTTAATTAATTTTAAAAAATTAAATATAGTAAATCATTTTCATAAAATTTATTAGAGTGAGTAAAAAAATATAATCCCTAATAATATTGTAAAGTACTTTCCGATAATAACAATGCTAATTCAAAAATAAATAAATAATTAATATTATAATTGGTCATGACTTAAAGTTTTTGCAAATTCCAACATCATGAGTGCAAGTGGAAGGGATTAAAAAATAATTTATAATGATATAAAAATTATAAAGCTTTGATGTCATCTAACTTTAATTTTTCAAGAAAAATAATAGTAATTTTATTCAATTACTATTATTATTTTGACTACCACTTGGCAATTTAGCACCCTTATGTTTCCACCATAATTTTTTAAAATTATATTGTACCCAATCATATTTATATATATAATTATATATTATATTATATGTCATTTATATAGTATTTTGATGTAGCTATCAAAATATTTAAACAAATAATGTCTTTAGAGAGATTATTTACATTTGCAAAGTTAATATATTGTTATGAGATTCCTTTAATTTGGACATGAAATTTCAATAATTTTATCATTATAATCTTTGTACAATCAATATAAAGTTGAAACTTGTGAGCATTATAATTTGTTATTTACTTTTTTATTTTGTTTACTTATTTTGGTTTGAGTTTTTTTCTTTTTCTTAAAGTGAAATGAAGTATAAAAGGAAAAATAATATTAGTTGTGTCCATTAAATGTGTTTTTGAAAGCTTATAAGAATTGGCCACCAATTAGGTTCTTTTGTGGGCCATCAGTGGTGCTTAATTAGTGTTTAGCTAAAATATAATCTACCCCTTTTGTTTATTTATATTTATATTTATTTTTTGTAATTTGTATGCATTTTAAAAAAAATATTAATATTAATATTTTACTTATCATAATATATAATTGACTTAAATCTTAATGAATAATTTTGTGATTAAGTGATTAAACATGGAAGGAAAAGTATGGAATTTTTTTTTCTTGATTTCCTAAAAATAATAAACAAAAATATATTTGAATATAATTAACAAATAAAAGTGAATGGAGAAAAAATTTATTCATAATCTTGAGTCACAATCAAAGTGATACTACATATTGTTTAATCATATTGATCGAATGATAAAAATTTATATGCAAAATAATTGTTATATTAATTGGTCTAGTGGAACATTCCGTGTGAATATTTTTTATAACAAAAATTTTTAATTATTGTGCGGTAAATAAAAAAACTTTATATTTAATCATAGGTATCAAATTTGAGTTTATGAAGAAATGTTGACATGGAATGCCTCTTTCACATGAGAACACAAAACGAATTTATTTAAATAAAATATGAATCTGAATTAGTCGGATTTGTAAATAAAAAAAAGGACTTTTTTAAGTTTTAACACTTAAAATCCCAACTTTATTATTATTATTTAAAAGAAAAAGACTAGGAAGGAAGAAAAAGAACTTTAACCGTCAATAGAGTAAGAATAAATCGTAGAAAATCAAAATTCAAATTCAAGTATAAAAGGGAAATTATATATATATATATATATATATATATATATATATATATATATA